CTACCCAGAATCGTCGTCATCGTCTAAACGGTCGGCTACCTCATTCCCCACGAGCTCATCTTCCTCATCGTCATCGACCTCAACCTCCTCCAGTTCCTCTGCCACTTCCTTCCCCTTCCTGGTCGTCGGACGCTTCTTCGGCCGGGCTGTCAGTGAGAAAGGTCGTCGCTTCTTATAACTCCTCCAAATAGACACCACCTCTTCCCAATCCGGCTCATAATCCAGCAGCGACATGGCCATGAGATCCGACAGCCGCGCGTCTTTTATAGCCCCGCGCTGCCAGCTCTTGATAACATTCTGCCGGGAGAACCCGCGCTCACACTCCACAGTGGATAGCGGCAGGACAGCAACCGCTACCCACAACTTCACAAGGTTCGGGTAGGCATCCTTCCAGTCAGGCGTTTTGAGCATCGCAGTAAGGCCTGCATGGAAAATTTTCTCACACCTCGGGGCAGCAGCTCGAACGGGACAGAAGTTGCGCAGCTCCTTGACGGCCCTACGCTTGTCGATACCTGCCCATATTCAACAAGGACATAGCTATTAAAGTGATACCAAGTACATAGTAGACTCAAACATGCGGCAGTGATAACAACATACCGGGCAAGATCTCTTCCGAATGCTGCGCCCGAAACAAAGCCACCAGAGACATGAGATGTTCGAGGCAGAGGGCGTTCCGCTCCTGGCGAGCTAACGGCCAGTCAAGCGAGATGAAGAGGCGCACTCCGGACAACGAGTCGAGGTCGCCCAGTCGATCCAGCAGGTTTCCCACGATCGATTCCGCCATAGCCGTGCAGAGGTCCACACTTGCGTTGTGGGTGAAAGGACCATTGTAGCCTTCAATCGCATCGTCGTGCAGAAGGTACGTGTGCGTTGTAGGGCGGCCATCAGCATCCACCCCTTGAACAGTCACCTGCCGTGATCCCCCTTCCCCATGGAGCTGTAGGAATGCAGATAGGCGATCACTGAGCCCGCCACCGAAATCGTCGCCGCAGTCGACGTAGCGAGACTCGATGAAGCTGGTGGTGCGGGCAATTTGTGACTGGACGGCGACGAGATCGAGCTGCACATAATAAGAATCATGAATATTAGAATCCGATACGTGTAAACACACTCCGAAAAGTGTGCAGCAATCAACACCATGTCATCTTAGAATACATGTAAACACACTCCGAAAGGGATGCAGCAATCAGCACCATCTCACCTCTCGCTGCTGGAACGTCTTGTTCAAGACGTTCAGCTGCTCAAGCATGTCAGCGAGGAAAAAAAGCAAGAACTGGAACATGAAGCTTGTTGCAATCTTGTACATCCTGGCATCACCCAGTTCATGAAGCATGACAATCACACCAGGCAGCACCGCCACCAACCTCAGGACGGCCTCACCGCGAGATAGCCAGCGGACATTAAAGATTCCCTGCAGCTCGAGACTTGTCTGACAGAACAGCTCCTGCAGATCTAGAAAGCGCTGGTGCCAAGGTCCCGAGCGTCCAAGGAACTCTGCCAACCACCGGATGAAGGCATCTATCATCCCAAACTGTGGCAACGAGTCTGCGGCATCCTTCGCAGCCAACGCCTCCCTGAAATTAACGTACACGAAATAGTCAGCTTCTTTCCAGGCAAAAACAGACACTGGAAGCAAATCAACAAAGACATGTACCTGTGTGCAATGCAATGGCAAGAAACGAGGTGAGGAATGCGCGTGCGAAGCCTTGCCACAAGCCCATTGCGTACGCCCGTCATCACGGCCGACCCGTCTGTGCTGATGCCAGTCAGGCGGGAGAGGTCGATGCCGACAGCTCCAAGGTGTGAGAGGAGCAGGCCAAGAAGAGACGCCGCATCCGCTCGGTCTACAGTCAGCAGTGCGAAAAACTCTGTGACGACTGCGTTGTTCTTGACGAATGTAGCGTAGACGATGAGATGTTTCCCACGGCAGCGATCGGTTGACTCGTCGCAACTTAGACCCACATAGGGACTAGCCCGAATGTGGTCAAGTTGGGTTGTCTGCAACCAAGTTGCGGTTGCTTGTGTGAATTCCCCAAAGCCATATCTGCATAAATTATGTGGAAAGGACACAATTGTAAAAAGTGTACTGTACGCACTGGTAAACAACATCAATAAACATTATGATGTTCAGTTACAATAGACCCAACACTTACGCGGTATAGTAGCTCCCGTATCCCTTCTTCGGAACTCCCTTCACCCCCTTCTCCGCGAGGTACTTCACTAGCCGAACTCACGCTTCAATTGGCTCGTTGCTCTTGCAGTTGAAGAGGAGAGCGTCGAGGAGTGCGATGGCTCGATCCTTCTCTATGTCAGTTGCCGCTGGGTGCTTGTCAATGCGAGGTTGTCGGGTGGCAGCTTGCAGGAGGTCGTTTTGCCGCAGCATCGCCAACTTGTGCTTGTTGGTGGCGGCATGCCGCTTGAATGCCTGGTTCTGCACATCAGTAGCAGCCTTTCCCTTACGACCACACTTCCCGGTATCTCCGACATGCTCTGAGCACACAGTACACTTGAAAGCAGGAAACCCCCCGGGTGTTTTGGTTAGAACGAGCCAAGGGTAACGTTCCTGCCAATGCGTCTTGTACTTGTCAAGAGCATCAGAGTACAACAACTCAATGACATTGAAGCTAGGTTCAGAGGAAGTAGTATCGGCGATGGAGTTGGGATTGGCGGCTGATGTTGTCGCAGGACAAGCAGTGGAGAGGAACGGGAGCTTTTCTTGACGGTAGCGAGATGCCCGAACTGCCGCGCCTGCACTCGACTCAGGAAGATCTTCCATGCCATGCATGCGACGTCCACCATCTCCTTCAGTGGCTGTGGAATCACTCCCTGCGAAGTGTCAATAACGTTATTAGTAAATAGTTCCTTTTAAGCGATGGGAACAACTGAATCAGAAGTCTCACCAGTAGAACATTCAGGTGGTGCTCGAAGGCCACAAGCAGCACTACTCTCGATTACAACGTTGGCAGGGGTCAGGGTTCCTGCCAGTTGCCAACATAGTTATTAGTAAACAGCTTTTTGTAAAGCCATGGATACAACAGAATTTAAAACCATGGCTCACCAATGAACACACCAGCAAGTCCTGCTCGATGAACACCAGCAGCCCTGCTCTCGAGTACAGCGGAGGCAGGGGTTGGGATTCCTGCCACATATCATTAGGTTTATTAGTAAAAGGTTACGTTTAAAGGATTCAATAGAACCAGAAGCCAAAAACACTACTCACCGGTAGCATAGTCAGATCCTGATCGACAGGCACCAGCAGTGCTATTCTTGGGTACAGCGGGGGCCGAGGTAGGGGTTCCTGCCATACGAGGACAAGGTTATTAATTAAGACTTGCTTGTGATTGACTGGATACAATAGAAGCAGAAACAGGACTCACCAGAAACAAAGTCAGGCCCTGCACGGCGAGCTTCAGCCGTGCTAGTGTCGAGTTCAGCTGGAGCTCCAGCCGCAGTAGTCTCAGGAACGGCGGTGGCAGAAGTGGGGATCCCTGTCAGGAGACGACACAGTAAACAGCAGACGTTAACACCCAGCCTTGTTTCCTGATATCAACGCACAAAGCCATGTCAAGCACACTTACCAGACTCAGACTGACGTCCTGCACGGCAAACACCAGCGGCGCTAGTCTCAGCTACAGCAGTGGTCGGAGTCTCCAACCACTGCTGTACACACCCAGCAGCGCTAGTCTCACGTGGAGTCTTCGGCGTGTCGTCCGCACACACCCAGACGGGCGCTGGTAATGTGGAGTTCGGTGGAAGAGCGGGAGAAGAAGGCGCAGTAGGAAAGTTAGTCACCTCGGTTGGCGTAGCGGTAGCGAACGAGTCAGCCGTTGATGGCATGGGTGAGGCAGACGCCAGGTGGGATGCTGAGACGTTTGAAAGTATATTCTGCTTGGAGGAAGGCGACAGTGATATTAATAGGAACTCTAGCGCGCTTTGGGGAGCTTCGACGGGAAGCTTAGTTTGAGAGGGCTCGTCTGGAGCTGGCGCGTCACCATCGACACAGTTTCCCCCAGCGACAGCCATGGCGAGAGCAGGCTGGGAGGAAAAGGCTGCTGGTGCTGGGTGAGCTGAGAACGCGATACATCAGCCTGAGAGGCTGCACGCTAGGGTGGGGCGCCAGCCTATCAAAACGAAACAGGGTGACGTTTTCCCATGGGCTATTCAGCCCTCGTCATGATCGCCAGCTTCGACTGTGCCAGGCGGGTTGCTCGGTAGGGAGGGAAGAGCGTCGTGGGGGAGGACGAATTGTGTGGCAGGTACGGGCCGTTCGTGGGCACGATGCCAGGTTCAGTGCTGGCATCGTAGCGCGATGCCAGCGCTGTTGCTGTGAGATCATAAACTACCTCACCCATTGGCTGCAAATACATGATTTGGCTAAAAGCCAATGGGGCTGCATGGCGGCTGCGCGAAATTTACAGCGCGACAGCATTTCACGCGTCATCCAGGTATTGCTGTACAATTTGTTGCATGACTTACGTAGGAGGAGGTCAGCAGGCACCGACCAAAATAAACTTCCGTGAATCTCGCAGTTTCCCGTTTCAGGGTTGTTCCGCGTTACTGCACGGATCGCTCAGTGTCGATAAGGAAAAAAACGCTTTTCCATCAGTCTTGTGCTAAAAAAATAGGCTTTCTCATCAGGGTTGTACAAAAGAAAAAGGCTTTCTCATCAGGGTCGGTACAAGCAAACACCCTGAAAAAAAGCGTAAAAAGCGTAAAACATCCTGATATCGTGGGGCTTGGCAGTGAGTATACTGCCACATCCTGCTTCTTTTCTAACACATGAAGATCTGAGCTGCGAGTATTGTCGTGACTCCGAGGTGCTTAGCTCACTATCAGACTCCGATGTTGACTGTACTGTTTTCTCTTCCTACGAGTTGAACCTACTGCCAACCCTCAACCGCCTGGCTGTTCGCCTGGTTATGCCCTTTGTCGTGCTTCGTGCCACTGCCAAGTCGTCCTGCGCTTTAACTATCCTTCCTCCTTACCCTTCCTCCTCCCTGACCCATTCCGCCTTGTGTAGGTTATCACTGGTGCCCTGGGACCAGCCGGTATGCTCTCTTGCTGAAGTTGGGAATGAATCGCCGGTAGTAGTTCAGGAACCCCAGTAGTGCTCTCAATGCCCCCTTCTCTTTTGGTGCCCCCAGCTTGTCTAACACAGCCACCTTAGCCTCTTGAATTCCCATCCTTCCGCCTTGCACTTCGAATCCCAGGTACGTCACTGTCTTCCTTGCTATCTTACACTTCTCCGGGTGACAGGTGAGCCCTGCATCAGCTATGGCATCCAATGTCGCTTTCAGGTGCTTGGCATGTTCTTCTTCACTCTTGCTGAATATCACCACGTCGTCAATGTAGCACGCCGCTGTTGGCACGGTCTTCAGCGCTTGATCCATGACCCTCTGAAATACAGCTGACGCATTCCTTAGTCCGAATGGCATCACATTCCATTCGTACAGGCCGTCCACTCCGTGAAAAGCGGTCTTGCATTTGTCTCCTTCCCTTATCCTTATTTGGTTGAACCCCTGCCGCATATCCAAGGTTGAGAATATGACTGCGCCTTCGAGCTTGTCAAAGATCTCTTCTGCAGTTGGCATGCTGTATCGGTCCGCCTTCGTCACTCGATTGAGCTCCCTATAGTCTCCGCACATTCTTCTTGCTAACACCTCTCCGGTCAGGTCGGTCCGAGCTGCCACCACCGTTGCTGCCGCGTAAGGTGAATGGGAAGGGCGTATCAGTCCTGCTTCCAGCAGTTCGTTGCATTTGCTTCGGCAGATCTCCTCGTCTCCAGGACTCATCCGCCGTCTCCGCTGGTAGACCGGCACTTCTGTGTCCAGCGGCAGTTCCAATTCATGCAGCGTGCACTTTCCCAGATCTTGCAGCGTGTAGGCGAACGTTTTGTGATGCTCTTGTAAAACTTGTCGGATTGCAGCTGCCACCTTGCTGTCAAGGTCAGGGCTCAGCTCCCACTCCTTCTCCTTCCCCTTATCTGTCTCCCCCCCTTTTTCTTTTTCTGTTGCCTTTCCTTGCTTTTCTCCCTGCATCAGGTATGCTCTGCTCGCTTGAGCCCGCCCCCTGCACTCTTCTGCCTGCTGCTGGTTCGACTCCCTTTCTTGCCGCTGCTGTATTATTTCTTTCAGCAACCACTGCAAAGCCTGCTGATCCATCGCTCGGCCCAATGCGGCCCGACGCTCCTGTTCCTTTACTCCTCGTGCTGCAGTTGCCCCCAGTATGTATCCCATAGCCAGTTCCCTTTCATTTGCTGTTGGCTCCTCCCACTGCCCTCTCTCTCTATCGTAGACCATGCCTGGCCCGGGATTGCCTCCTTCTAACTCAAACCCGCGGGCTCCTTCGTAGGACACTAGGGTAGGCCAAGCCCTTCTCGGCTCGCCTATCTTGTTGCATTGTAGCTGCTTCGGGTGGTCTCTTTTCTCTACCGGGGCCGATGTTCTTCCTGGCTCTAATATGTCATCCACTAGGAGTCTCGTGTCCCTCCTCAGCTCGGTCAGTCCTCGTCTCAGTTTCTCTGGCTCCACTCCGTTCTGCCAGTATCTTCTCACTCGATGAGCTCTTGCTCCGTTCAGCGCCGCATCCCAGCTTACGCCTGCCCCTAGCTCCGCTACCACCTTCTCTTGTGTTGCTCTTATGGGTTCCCTCGGGTCTCCTGCCATGTCTACATGTTCCACTACATAGCAGCACCTTGATCCCCCTTCCTTGATCCACTTCAACACTTGTAGTAGCTCGTCCAGCAGCGCTGTGCGTGCATCTCCCATTCCTCTCCCTTTCCCCGCTCTAGAGGTGCCTTGGCACTCCCAGCCAGCCACCACTAGGTCCACTTGACCCCATCCCCAGACAGTTGCTTCATTCAGCTGTCGGACATCCCAAGCTCCTTCCCTCTTTGCCTCCTCAATTACGGCCTTGCATATTTGCCCCGGATACTTTTCCAGCAACTGGTCTGCATGATGCCAGGCCATGCGCCTGGCCTTTGGATCTATCTCCACTAAAATCCACTTTCGCACCACCAATCCGGCTTCCAGCGCAGCTGCCAATCCATCTCCTATTCCCCCAAAGAGTTCTACTAACGTGATCGGCCCCTCGCCCAGCATCACTGCTTCCTGCTGTCCCAACGTTCCCTTTCCGCCCATCTCGGCTGGTTTCTTGCCCCCCGCCGTTCTGTCCATCATCTCTGCTTGCTGCACCTCTGTGACTTGCAGGGCTTTTCTTGGCTGCATCTTCACGAAGCGTACAGGCAGCTCTCCCTGCGTCCCGCCCTCCTTCCAGTATTCTGTCCTGAAGCTCAGCTTCTCTCCCCAAGCGTCGATTTGCGCCCCGATCTTATAGATCAACTCCATTCCCACCAGCAAGTCGTAATCATCAGACTCGGAGAGCCCACACTGCACTCGGATCCTAGTTTCTTCTTTCTGTCCCGGCAGCAGCGCAACCTCTATCGGCTCCTTCGTGCTAGGCATCCACTTGGGTGGTCCTCCTTCAGCCGTCATGATAAGCATTCCCTTGGTCACCGTCTCCAGCTTCCCTTGCTTCCGCAATCGCTCTGCTAGCTTTCTCCCCATCAGTACACTTTGAGCTCCGGTATCAATTATAGCATTGTCCACCTTCAAACCTTGTACTGCTATGGAGCCCGCTTCAGCTAGCAGCGCCGTCGTATGGCACACCAGTCTGTCCTCCGGATGTCGTTTTGCTCGTTCTCCTCTTTCTTCCGGCTCCCTTCCTGGGTTCTTGCTCCGCTTCTCTGTCCTGAGTTCCTTCCTCCCGTCCACCCCACCGCTCCGCAGTCCCAGGTCCGCTCGGTCCCGCGGTAGGGTCGCCACTAGGGCGTACTCGGACTCCTGATCTTCCTCCTCCTCTGCATCATCATCCTCCCAAGCCATCATTGCCTTCTCCGGGTCTTCACTGATTTCTGCTTTCCCTAACTGCGCCCTTAGCTTCTTGACTTCCTGCTCCAGCTCTTGCTCTCTCGTCGTTCTCCCCATTTGTCCTCCTCCTCTCCGATAACACTGGCTGTTCTGGTGTCCTTTCTTTCCACACTCGCTGCAGGTGGGAGCTCTGGGACAGTTTCTCTTGAAGTGGCCCATCTGCCCACAGTGGTCGCACGTGATGCCCATCACACAGTCCTTGCGCAGGTGGCCGACCTCTCCGCACTTGTGACAGCGGCGTTCGTCCCTCATCCTCTCTCTCCTTTCTTCCTCTGGACGCTGAGCTTCGGTTGCTGACCATACCGGTCGTCTCCGCTCTGGGGGCCGGCGAGCTCCTCTCATCATGTCTACATAGCGTCTCCCTTCCTCTGCTTCTTTAGCTATCTGGTACACTTGCCTCAGCGTGGCCTTAGAACGAATCGGATAGAGAGCGATCCTCATTTCGTTAACTAATTCTTCATCTAATCCGCCTAAGAACTTGGTGACCATCAGACGGTCCTCTAGACAGTTGAGGTCTTCAGACAGCTCCACTAGTCGGTTGTAATATGCCAGCAACGACTCGCCTTTCCCTCTACGGAATTCACTGAATTCTGCTACTCGATCTGCTGTATCGCCTGGAAATTGCTCCTTGAGGATCTCATAAAACCGATCCACGATCTTACGGGGCGGGATTTCTCCCTGCTCACACTCGCGCAGCAGCCGGGCCCTCTCTACTCGATAGTGGGTTTGCGCTTCTCCTCTGAGCGTCTTTCCCAGGCCTCTAAAGAACTCTATCGGATCTAGCCCCTCTCGATCCCAGCAGTAGCGGATGTCATCTATCAGCATGATATAGTTTTTTAGCGACGGTTCTTCACCCGGCATGCCCGAGAATCTCTCTGGTACTTCTATCTTCGGGACACTCGCGGCTATTGACCGTCCGGTTTCCCACGAATTCACCTTCCCTCCTGCTACTCCTGAATAACCTCCCGCCGTACGATCGTGTGTGGATCTAAGCCCGCACTCCCTTGGCGCCTCGCTCCGCCTCCGCTCCTCTTCTTTCTCTATCTCCTCTCGCTCACGCAATCTCTCTCCGAGACCTGGCGTTCCTCCTCGCGAACTCCTCCCCGATCCTCCGCGACTCCGCGGATCTGGCGATCCGACGTCCTCCCCGGCTCCCTCTCTTATCGCCGCTGAAGCATCTGCTTCACGTCCCTCGGGCTCATGCGGCCCCGCGCGATACACAGGACGAAGCGGTGGCTGCTCGTCTTCCTGTACGTTCCGCGCCGGGTATCTGATCCCCGACCTCAAGCGATGTCCCTCAGGACTCGCCTCCCGACTCATCGCTGCCTGCGGTCTAACACGCTTTTATCGCAGTTCGTCTTCGTCCACCCGCTAGTTAGATCACTCTCCTCAGCGGTCGCTCTCTCGCACTTTTCGCTTGTATGTTACAAGCCGGACACCGCCTGCTCAGATCTACTGAGGACCGAATTCCCGTACTGCTGGACTCTAGTAGGATTAGAGCGAATTTGCAGTATTGAAGGAAAACATACAAGCGAAAAGCGATCATCCTACTGAGTTGTCTACTATTTACACGTCCAGTTTCCTCTGCTCGGTCATCCTCTCCTCTCCTACTTCCCTTGAGAACTGAGATTGCGCTTGACCCCCTCTTCCGTCAGATTGGGCCCTTGCTGACGCCCTCCACCTCATCTTGGTTTGCGCCTCGGTCTCTCGACATTTCTGTCTCTTCACCCTGGAATTGTTGTCATGCTGAATTTGTACAGTGCCATACTGTACCTTCTCCCGTATCACCTTACTTTTCTGTTATACCTCCCCATTCACCACAACTCTTCTTTTTCGATTCTTCTCTTCCTCAACCCACTCCTCCCTTGCTGCTGTGTTAACCATGGGAAGCCCATCTCTTCCCGTGGGTAACGCGACACCTTACTGCAGTATGACTGGCCTGCTTCTAGCAAGCTTGGAAGTAAGGCATGCAAGGCTGATACTGCTGCTGGCTGGAGCAGGAGCGAGGGAGGCCACAGGGAGGTGAGGAGGTGGTGGTGACACTGGGCTTGCAGGGAAGTGGCATGTCATGTGCTGCATGGGAAAAGGGGTTTCAAGGGCAAAGCAATGAAATGACAGATCGGCAGGTGCAGCAGTCAGACAACGAGGACCAGAGTGACTGGGAATCATGCATGGAGAGAGAGCAACGGTTACCTTGCCCTGCCTATGTCACAGCTTAAATGGCAGCACAGGCGCAGCAGCCATATGCGCTTCTCTCTATCAGACTGTCAGCGGCTGCTCATGTTATTTCTGCTGCCCTTCCTGCTCCCAGACGATGGCCTCCGAGCAACCCTCGACGCGCTGCAACCCTCCGCACTCGTAACTGCTCCCATGGCTGCACTCCACGGGCCTCAGCCTGGCCCACAAGTAGGCCTCACTGTTTCAGGCACGTCTGTGCGACGCCCACGGCCATGCCTCCTCAAGTGTGCCCTGTCACTCCCACCCTTCACCCTTAACCCTGCACCCTGCCCTTTCGCACTCAATGCCCGCCCTAGCTGTACACGTGCTACTGTTGAAGTGGCTGCCTGGAACTAGACTCCATGCTGAGAATAACCCCAAGAAGAAACGACTGCTGCAACCCATCCACGCAATGCGCTCAGCAAAGCACACTGAGAGCATGTGAGACTAAGCGTGCTCAATCATGCTAAACACACACAAAAACTCGCCCACAAGCTAACACACATGCCCATTCACACGCACGCAGTAACAGAAACGTCACGCCCCTGCGTGCCAAGCTATGCGGCGGAATCAGCTACTGCCTTGACATGCGCGTGCTGGCGCGCGCTCAGGACCACTTAGTAGCTGGCCCACGCCTCGTCTCTCGCCTTCACACAGGCACCTAGAGCAGAGAATCAGAGGACGCAGCGGCGTGCGTGCTGGAGCAGCGCCCCCACACACTGAATGCGGGCTGCGACATACACGTTCACGTGGAGTCGTCTTGGGGCGGAGGCATGGACACCCACCAGGAAGGCAGCAGCACATTGTTACCGCTGCTGTCGTGCACCGTGGCAGCATCACCACCACCCCGCTGCTCTTGCTGCACCTCTTCCCGTACACAGCTCCTCAGCCTGCCCCTCTGCTCGCTCACGCGCATCAACTGCTCTTGTTGCTGCTCTCTCTCTGCGTCCTCCTGCTGCTGCTGCTGCCACCCATGGTTGCCCGGTGCCAGCTCATCTGCCGCGCCACCTGCCTGCGCCTGTTGCCGCTGTCGCTTCCACCAGTGCCCGCCTTCCTCGTGCTCCATCGTGTGCACGCCCTGCCTGTTGCTCGCCGCCTCTAGCGTTAACGTCAACTGCTGCTCCCTCCCCGTCTCCTGCCTCTGCAGCCCCTCCATCCCCGCACCTGCCCCCTGCTCCACCTGCCGCCAACCCCCGGACGTTCCTCCGCCCCACTGCTCCTGCGCGGTGTCGAGCGCGCGCCTCTGCATGTCCGCGTGCCGTGCACTGGGGACCTCTCTGTCCCCGCGCGCCATCACCACGTCCTGCGGCTGGAATGCCTGCGCCCACCGCACTACGTGCCGCGCCTGCCCGCCATCCCCCGCGATGCTGCCCTTGTCGTGCCACGACGGGAAGCCCGCCGTGTCCCTCGCCTCGCCGCACGCTATCACCGCATTGCTACCGTTCTCTTGCTCCGCCTCCTCCTCGACAACCATGGCCCCTCCCCCGTCCTCCCCTCGCCCCAGATTATCCACCGCGCGTGCACCGCCGTCTGCCCCCGCCTCCCACTCCACGAACTCCCCGGATCCCTCGTCCAGCCTGCCCTCTTCGCACCCGCCGCACTCCACGGCGTCCCCGTCGTTCCTATCGCTGGATCTGGCGGCGCCGTCGTCGTCCTCGCCGTGAATCCACCACTCCGGCAGCCCGTGCGCCGCCTCATACCCCGCCGTTGCCCCGCCGAACTGCGCCGACCCCCCGTCCGTAGCACCCTGCGGGTGGTCGTCCTCGTCCCCCTGGCCGTGCGGCAGCGCCACCCACCACCCGGGCAGCACGCCACCTCGTCGCCGCCGGGGTGGCGGCGTGGGGCGCACGTCCACGAACGTGGGGTCGTGCAACCACCACGAACTGAACCCGCGGCCGCCTCCCTCCTCGCCGTTGTTTGCGGCGCCCGCACCGACCCCGGGAATAATCTCGCCCTGCAATGCCGCCGTCTGCCCGTCATCTTGCCGCAACCTGTGCTCGTGCGGCGGCTCTTGCACCTCCTGCGGAGCCTGCACTGCCTGCGGTTGCGGGTGAGGTTGCTGTCGAGGTTGAGGCTGCCCCCACGGATCACGGTGGTGCCGCGCCAGTGTGACGTCTACGAGATCGACGCGGCGGCCCCGGGCAGATGCCGCATGCTCGCGAGGAATGGCGGCGAAGGACGGCGCCAAGGCCGACGATGACCCCTCTAAACACGCTCGTGACGGAGCCACGTCGGCGGTGTTGTCCGCGCGCAAACTACGAATGGCGCTTGAAAGGGCCGGATAGGTCGGCACGACAGGAAGAGCAACCGCTAAGTCCGCCACCTTGAAAGCACAGATCGGAAAAACAAAACGGAAAAGGTGAACGCTGGCGAATGGCGCGGGGCAAGACGTCCATACACTGGGCAGCGCACGACGTTGCAGTATGCCCAAAACACGGCGTAGAACGCAAGTGGTGTAGGGTTGAGCTGTTAGAGAGGTGGATGAAGTGGGTGAAGTTGGGAAGAAAGGGGCGGAGCAGGAGGACCTGACCAAATACGAGCAGCAGCGTGCAAAGAAGGGGGTGTGGGAGTGGGAGGTGAGAGGGCCGAGACAACCCCGCAGGATGAGCCACGTGTCCTGGAAAACACGGGGGAGGATCTCGATGTGGGTTGCGGAAACCCTTTTCGAAATCACGTTCGGGCGGGCACGCAGTTGTGATCATATGAATCATCGAGTGGACTCATCGCTACCAACTAGGAAAGCGGCACCAATTTCTTCAAACGTACCGTACTGTAAATAGTCATATTACAAAGAACCGAGCTGCAACAGAAACCAAAAGCATGTTCCCGTTCACCTAGATACGCCCAAAGCGTCCTTTTGTTGCACCCTATTCCCTCCCTTTCGTGAGTGATCCTCGTAACAATCGAACTCAATCTTCACAAGACGTGGAATGTTATGATATAGGAAGTGTCAATGAACTATAACGTGAGAATACAAGGTCGCTATTGCAATGAAAGCAAGAGGTTATATAGGGGTTGGTGTGCTAGGGCGATAACCTCGGAACGTGGGTAGGTTCGGCAATGTGGCGACAGTGCCAGACGCGACTCGGGAAGAGGTTGGGCCAACAATTGAGGCCGAACGTGACGAGTCGAGGAGTTCGGGTATACGCGCTAGCGTCAGGGCTCCCGTTATCAGACCAAATCGGTCTGATGGTCTGAAAATCAGACCGGGTTTTTATGTTTCATCTGATTTTTTGACGAGCCAAATATATTCGTCTGATTGTTCAGACAAGTTATAAGAATTCGTCTGAAACATCAGACCAGGTGTACACATTCATCTGATTTATCAGACCGGCCGTTTTTTCCGTCTGATACCGACAAACCCACCCTTCTAGCAGCAGGGCCACTACTAGTCCACATGCCCACTGGGCCACTGCCTGCCACCTGGTCCCATGTGCACCACAGCACGCGCATTCAATTCTACCCCGAGCGCGGCAGCAAAACAGTCCAGCGCACATAAACAGTCTGAATTCTCAGACACGTGCTTGCATTTCGTCTGAATCGTAAGACAGGCAAAAAAAATCCGTCTGACGGTCAGACGAAGCTCTAAGTACCCGTTTGATTTTCAGACTGCCCTAAAAACTAGCAGGAGCCCTGGCTAGCGTACGACTCAGTAAGGAATGAAAATTCCTTACACTACCCCCCCCCCCCCCCCCCCCCTCCTAAACGAGGCCGCGGGCATCGGAAACATTCCGACACCGATAATACGCTGTTAGAATCGGGTGTGATTCTATATCAGCGAGGGGCACCCGGCTGTCATCTTCAGACCAGTGCTGATCTTTGGTTTTTCACTACTCTGAAATCTGGAAGCTTCTTTCACCATTACTCTGAAAACTAGGGTGGTCCTCAACATTTTCCCTGAGGCATCAGAGTAACCCCATAATTTTTATTTTTTTACTCTGGCTAGTCAGAGTGGTATTTTTTCCAGCTCTGGTGAAAGTGCTAGTTGCACAGAGTAAAATAGTGACAGCAATAGTTTTTTTTTCGCAATAAAGCATAGCACAATATTACATGACTAACTCATCATCATCATCCTCCTTGTCATCCTCACTTTCACCTCCGACACTCTGATCGTCTGAGCTCTCTGCGACATCCTTCTGCTGTGGGAAGAGGGGAATTTCCTGCTCAAATTCAACATTCCTAGCTTGCCTACGGTGCCTAATGCGCCTCCACTTCTCCACGATCTGGGGGTAGTCCATGTCGTAGTCCAGCATGCTGATGGTCATCAAGTCACCAAGGGTGGCATCGCACAGGCTTGTGCGATGCCATCCCTTGATGACATTCTGCCGTGAGAATCCGCGCTCGCACTCGACGGTGCTCAAGGGCAACACCGCCAGCTCCTGCCACATCCGCATCAGGTTTGGGTAGGACTTGTACCAGTCCTTCGTCTTCATCATATTGGCCAAACCCTGGGCGAAGTCGTCGTCCTTGCGATGAGTCTTCATGATGTGGCAAAAGGTCTTCAGCTCCAGCTCCATCGCTCGAAGTTCGACTCCTGTTGGCGAGGAGGGAGGGGGGGGGTAGGGGCGTATAATGGCACGAAAAGGAGGTGTTGAAATAACAGAGGCACCGCATCTAACCATATTCAAGACATACGACACGACCTCTTTTAAAGCCACTGACCTGGCAGCTTGTTGCCAAACAGCGCCATGTTCTGCTCAGCCCACTTGCGGCACCGGCGCTCCCGCACCTCTGCCTTCTTGGGCCACTGGTCCACCTTGCAGAGCTTCGACCCCTCCATCCGCTTCATGTCCCACAGCCGCCCCTCCAAGCACCCCACTGTCTCCTTGGCGAACGCCGTGCAAAGGTCTTCGCAGTCGGAAGGAGTGCCGCCGAACGCATGTCCCGGGATGCGCGACAAGGTGAGCTCGAACTTGTGCGTGCAGGGAGAGCCATCTGCCGCGATGCCGTGCACCTCGAGCGACCCCTTACCCTCCTTGTAGCGGGCGAGGAACTTGTCGAGCTGCTTGCTCAGCCCGCCGCCGAACCGCTCCCCGTACTCGATGTATCGGTGCTTGATGTAGGTGACAGTGCGGTCGACCTCTTGGGTGACGAGCGTGATGTCCACCTGAAGGTCGGGGTGGGAGGGCAAGGGCAAAGGGCACGGATGTTAGAACCTGTTTCCCGCCAGACACACGCCCAAGTTATTAATCAACTCAACGAGCCACGACAAGAAAGAAAACGATTCAACTTACCGTGTGGCGCTGGAAAAACCTGTTCAGAGTGTTGAGCTTAGCGAGGATGTCGGCGAGGAAGTTAAGGCAGAAGTGGAACTTATAGGACTTCAGCAGCGCGACGTGCTTGTGCTTGTACTCGATGAAGACGACGATGACTGCGCCGAGAATCTTGCAGAGTCGCCGCACAGCGTCACCACGTGCAAGCCACCTTATAGCGTAGAGCCCCTGATGTTCGAGGTTCGTGTCGTGGATGACAAGTTGCAGAGCCTTGAACATCTCGTACCATGGAGTCGAGCGACCGACGATTTCCCCGAAAGCTCGGATGATCACGTCGACGATGAACAGGTCGGGGAAGGAGTTGGAGGCGTCTTTGACCGCCAGCGCTTCTCTGCGATGGCACCAAGGCACAAGTGAGGTTAGAAACATGCATGGATAATCATACAGACATGGACAAGAGGGTACTGCAATGGCAGTCTTACCGATGTGCGATGCAATGGCAAGCGACAAGGTGCGGGATACGCAGTCGGAGACGAGCGACGAGCCCGTTCTTCTCGCCGGTCATCACCGACGCCCCATCGGTGCTAATACCGGCGATCTTTTGAAGCTCAATGCCACTCCCCTCCAGGTGACCCAGCAGGACAGACTGGAGCGACGCGGCATCACACTTGTCGATGGTGAGCAGGCTCAAGAACTCAGTGACGACGCGCCGCTTCTTTAAGAAGGTGCCGAAGACGATGAGATGCTTTCCGCGGGTGCGGTCGGTACTCTCGTCGCAACTGATGCCGATGAACGGGGAGGAGTGGATGTGCTCCATCTGCTGTGCCTTCAAGAAAGCCACCATGGCTTTCACCATCTCCTTGAACCCATACCTGCGACAAACACCATACAATAAGACAACAGATTATATACTAGTCACGTATTCAATAGATTATACAAATATGAAGACAGCGCGCTTACTTCGTGATGTACGCGCCGTAAGTCTGCTTGGGTATGTCCTTCACCCCCTCCTGCGACAGGTGACCGATTAGACGTGTGAACATTGAAATCGGGGCATCTTCCTTACAGATGAATAGCATGGAGCGTAAAAGTCTGATGACGCGGGCGGCGTCGGGGTCGTTCTTGGCGAAGTTGTCCATGCGCTTCTGGTTCTCGATTTCCTTGTCAAGGTGAGCTTGCTTCTGCACGCAGGCCTCATGCTTGGTGCTCTCCTCGTGCCACCGCATGCTGCCAATCTGTAAGTCCCTGCCGCCAGGCCCATCGCGACCGTAGCGGGCTGTCGGCTTGCCATGCTGCATGCACACACTGCAACGTAAACAGGGTGAGCCATCGTCAGTTTTATCCAAGACGAGCCAAGGAAACCTTCCATGCCAATCTGAGGTATATTTCTTTTGAGCAGCAAGATAAGCTTTGGCCTTCATCTCGGCCGACGTTGGTGCGAGGGGTCGCTCTGCTTCAACGGCGGGGGCAGGGGTTGTTGGCGGCGTTATCTTGGAAGGAGGCGCGAAGGGGAGATATCTCTGCTGGTACCGCCGTCTCTTCTTAGCCGACGCTGTTGATGCAGATGCCGGCGGCGAGAGCACGGGATCCGGAGGTGGAGGATCTGCCGGCTTGTCAACCGACAGATTCGCCTCCTCCATTTCACGCTCCCATTCGTCGCTGCTTAGACTCGGGAGCGGCAGAGGCTCTACTGGGGGGGTGGTAATTCGACGCTTCGGGAGCGGAGGAGGGTCTACTGGGGAGGCGTTCGTGCGACGCAAAAAGTCTAACCCGCTGAGTGGGGTCGAGCTACGTGGGGGTGGGGCGTCATCCTCATCCTCCCCGCCATCGTCGGCATCGCCCAGGCCAGCCATAGCTGGCGAGGCTGGACGACGAGAGGATTTGAGGCTGGCGGAATAGATCACGTTCGACAAGATGTGAGAGAGGGTTGCTAAACTGGTACACTAGCGGCTACTGCCGATGTAATACAGGGGGAGAAGAACAGGGTGAAGAAGACGAGGCCTTTCTCGCCTGTTCTTGGTGCCCGTGACGCCATCGACATGAAGGTTGGGTGCCTTTCTGAGCCATCGTGAACGTTTGAGAAGGGCATATGCCCGCGCGTGTGGGAAAAGATTCCCGCTGTGTTGCATGCCTGTCGATGTGCGTGGCTGCAAAAAATGACAAAGGGACCAATCAGAGGCACATACACGTACAGCGAGTACAAGTGTGGCAGGAGTCGACGTGGTAAACTCGGGTGTGGCACCGAAACCTGCGTAAAAAATACACAAGTGTCCAATAGGAGAGAAGGGTATCTGCCAGCGAGGGTGGGTCTGGCAACATATGACGTGGGCCAGCTCGGCGGTCTGCGTGAACAAGGCGAGGATATGGGGGCATGTATGTGGACAGGGGGGTACAGGAAAATACGGGGGTATCCTCCTTACAGTAAACCCCTCAGGGTGGTACAAAAGAAAACCCTGGCTCATCAGAGAAAACATATAATCTAAAAATTTACCCAGAGGCGTAAGGGTGGTACACAAAATCAACTCTGAAAATCAGAGAATCAGAGTAATTTACTCGTGAAAAATAGGGACTGCTTCAGACATCCGATTGCGTCATCTAACAAGAAAATCCACCATTCGTCGATTCTGCTGCGTTGTGACTCGATGGCCGAGACTCTTCAGGGGCTCGGTTGTCGGTTCCTGCAGAGGCGTCAGTTGCGGTACGATGCGTTGACGAGCCAAATCCGACAAACTGGGGACGTAAGCCGGGTGGTGATGCCAATCCGCCGGTAGTCGGAGGTGAGTGGTGACAGGTGTCACGATATTGGTCACTTGAAAGAGGCCACAGAATCGGGGTCGGAGTTTGCTCAGGATCGGCAGACGCAAATTGCGAGTGTCAAGTAGTACGATATCTCCCACTTTGTAAGTGACGTCACGTCGATGACGATCGACTTGTCGGCTTGCGACCAGGTTGGCTTTCCGTATTGCCTCAGCGGCTGGCCCCCTGGCCGTCGCGCCCACCTCTAGCTGGCTAGGAGCGCGAGGGGCCGTAGGGGCGCGACGGGGCTGTAGGGACGTGACGGGGCTTGCTAGGGGCGTGACGGGGCCGTAGGGGCGCGACGGGGCCTGCTACGGGCGCGACAAGGCCGTAGGGGCACGACGGGGCCTGCTAAGGACGCGACGGGGCCTTAGGGGCGCGACGGGGCCGTAAGGGCGCGATGGGGCCTGCTAGGGGCGCGACGGGGCCGTAGGGGCGCGACGAGGCCGTAGGGGTGTGCGGGGCCAGCTAGGGGCGCGAGGGTCCGGTAGGTGGCGGCACGGGGCGGAAGCGGGTGGGGGGACCTACCTACTCGTGATACCATGTTAAGAATGATTAGAAGAAGGGAGAACAGGAAAGATATAGCATCTGGGATGTACCCAGTAAGAACATACCCTATCTAGCCTATAACTTCTACGTAACAATATATGTATAAGTTGACAGCCCCGCCCACCAACACCGAATCCCCTGGCACTTCGCACCAACAAATTCTCGTTTTGGCCGCTCCCTCCCCCAGTGTCTCTGTTCCCTGCCTTCGTCTCTCTCGCTCGTTCCCCCCCCCTGGCCGTCGCGTACGCCCCTAGCCGGCCCCCTGACCGTCGCGCCCGCCCCTAGCCGGCCCCCTGGCCGTCGCGCCTGCCCCTAGCTGCCCCCCTGGCCGTCGCGCCCGCCCCTAGCTGGCTAGGAGCGCGAGGGGCCGTAGGGGCGCGACGGGGCTGTAGGGACGTGACGGGGCCTGCTAGGGGCGTGACGGGGCCGTAGGGGCGCGACAGGGCCTGCTACGGGCGCGACAAGGCCGTAGGGGCGAGACGGGGCCTGCAAAGGACGCGACGGGGCCTTAGGGGCGCGACGGGGCCGTAAGGGCGCGACGGGGCCTGCTAGGGGCGCGACGGGGCTGTAGGGGCGCGACGAGGTCGTAGGGGTGTGCGGGGCCAGCTAGGGGCGCGAGGGTCCGGTAGGTGGCGGCACGGGGCGGAAACAGGTGGGTGGACCTACCTACTCGTGATACCATGTTAAGAATGATTAGAAGAAGGGAGAACAGGAAAGATATAGCATCTGGGTTGCCGGTCGACGCTGAGGGTCAGCCGCTTGAGTTTGACGCGTGGCTGATAGACCCTCGCCGCCATCTCACTAGTTAGTGGCAGGATGGCCACTCGCTGTCTGTCCACCTTGACGGTACGCTCCCCTGCCCTGACCCCCCTGCTGCGCTGCCTGCTGACCCCTCGTCTGCTGAGCGTGAGTCCGCTGCCGCTGCTGCCCTTGCTCGCTCTATCTGGCTGTCGCGTAACGCTGTTGCGCAGCTTGCTATTAGCCATGCCCTCCCACTCTCTGAGCGCCCTTGCTTTAAGTCCGTCACGACTGCGCAAGCATTCCTAGATGCTGTTGTCCAGTGCTATTCCACCCCGCCTGCTGCCTCTGTAGGTCGCCTGATCCTGCCGATGCTTTTCCCTGACCTTGCGTCTTTCCCCATTGTCGCTGACCTTGCTGCCCACCTGCGGACGATAGACGCGACCTGGCGCTCTGCCTGCACTGTGACCCAGCTTAGAGCCCATCAGCCGCCCCTCTGCTCTGCCCTTTACCTGCAAGCCACTTGCCTCCGTGACCGTCTTGCCACTGCCCGCGACCGGTTCCTTAGCGTCCACCCCGGTGACCTCACCCTCACCGACTTTGTCGACACCCTGTCTGCCATAGAGACACGCCACCGCTCTATCGCCCAGGCGAGCGGTACTGTGCCGGTCCCCATCTTTCAGGGCTGTGCCCCTGCCCAGTGCACCTTCTCCGACGGTTCTGCTGCTGTGGCTGAGACTGCTGCTGCAGTGCAGCTCCATCCAGGGAAGGGTTGCCGCCCCAAGGCTGGGCGCGGCGGAGGGGGTGGGGGTGCAGGTGGAGGTGGTAGTGGAGTCGGGGCGCCAGGTGGTGGCGCAGACGAGGGGACAGTCCCTGGTGCCGCCGAGCAGCCGTCCCAGCAGCCGCACCAGCCAGACCAGCACCACCCGCAGCCGCAGCAGTCGCAGCAGCCGCATCAGTAGAGGCGGGCGAGTGGTCTCCCGCCCGGGTGGCCTGGCACTGGTGGCGGTAGTGGACGTGGTGGTGGACGTGCGCCACTGCTGCGCTCACCTTCACCCTGGACTCTGGCGCCTCCCGGTGTTTCTTCCGCGACTCCACTATGCTGTCCTCGCTTGCTGCCCCTGCTGCGGTTTCCCTTGTTGACCCCTCCTCCGGTCCGGTAGTCGCTCGTAGTTCTACCACCCTTCCCTGCTCGGCGGCTCCTTCGGGCTCGCTCACAGGCTTGCACGTCCCCTCGTTTTCTAGGAACCTAGTTGGTGTTGGATGCCTCCAGGACCTTGGCGTCACCACAACGTTCCCTGGTCACAAGCGGCTTGCTGTCTGTACTGAGGCCGCCACTGGTGCTCCCCTCGCTACGTTCCCCCGGGACCCGGTGTCTGGCCTGTTCACAGTGGACAATGCGCCCCCCCCGGTTCGGACGCCTCCCGAGGTAGCTGTGTCATCTTAGGTTGCAGCGGCCTGCTCGTGTCGGTCGCTTACTCACCCGACCCTCCTGTGGCACCACCGTCTAGGTCACCCTGCGCTCCTGCGTCTCCGTCACATGTCATAGCACTGTCTTGTCCTAGGTCACCCAGGGTCTTTCCCCGAGTTGCCCCCCTCCACAGCGCCACCGTGCACACCCTGCGTCGAGGGTCGGCTCCGCCGTGCCCCTCACCCCTCCTCTTTCCCCCCCACCACCGCACTGCTACAGACCTTGCACATGGACGTCTGGGGCCCCGCCCCCGTCCATGGACCGCGTCGCGAGCGCTACTTCCTCGTGCTTCTCGACGACTACACGCGCTGCACCACGGTTTTTCCCTTGGAGCGGAAGGCCGACGTGCCTGACGTTCTTATCCCTTGGCTAGTCTCTGCGCATGTCCACCGAGGTCTCCCTGTCCTGCGTCTTCACTCTGACTGTGGTGGCGAGCTTGCCTCCGGTGTCCTTGGTCGCTTCTGTCGTGCGGAGGGCATCACCCACGCGTTCACCGTGCCGGACTCGCCGCAGCAGAATGGGGTCGCTGAGCGACTCATCAGTTTGGTCATGGAGGTGGCTCGTACCTCCATGATCCACGCCGGTGCACCCCATTTTCTGTGGCCGTTCGCGGTTCGCTACGTTGCTCACCAGCTTAACCTGTGGCCGCACCCTCAGCGACCTCAGGTTTCGCCGACCCTTCTTTGGACCGGGTCTCCTGGTGACGCGTCTGCGTTCCATGTATGGGGCTGCCTTGCTCACGTTCGTGCCTTTGGCACGGACAAGCTTACTGCCCGCACTGTCCCCTGTGTCTTCCTTGGTTTCCCCCTTGACTCGTTGGACTGGCATTTCTACCACTCGCCATCCCACCGTTTCTTTCACTCCCGCGACGTTACATTTGACGAGTCTGTTTCCTTCTACCACCGCTTTCCACACCGTGGTCCCCCGGTTACCCCCCCCCCTGTTCCTGGTTCCCCCGTCCCTAGTAGCCCCAGCCCCGCCCCCCCCGCGTCCTGCCCCGTCCGGTGTGTCTCACGTCACTCCCCTCCCGTCGGTTGTCCCAGTAGAGGAGTCTGCTGACTCTGGTGGTCCTGCGGCCCAGTCCTTGCCGCCTGTCTCCCCCCCGGCATCTCCTCCTCCGCCGCCGCAGCAGCAGTCGTCGCCGATGCCGCCGCCGTCGTCGCCGCCGCCCGAGCCGTCACTGCCGCAGCAGCCGTTCGTCGCCTCTGGTGGTGCTGGAGTTGGGAGCGGTACCAGTGCTGGCAGGGTTTCTGGCTCTGGGGGTGTTCCCTCTGGGGGTGCAGGAGTGAAGTGTTCCGGCGGTAGCTGTGGAGCTGCTGGCGGTCCTGGAGTCGATGTTGTGCAGCAGCAGCCGCCGTTCCCGCCGGTGTCAGCCCTTCGCCTGCTCTGCCTTCCGTCCCCTCCTCTTCCTGTCTACGGCCTTGTGTTCCCTCCTCGTTCCCCCGGACTCATCCCCGGCTCGTCTCCCTCCTCGTTCTCCTCTTGTGTCTCCTCCTCTGTCGCCTGACCCGACACCTCCATCGCACGTCTGGTCTCACCGTCCCTCCCATGCTCGCCCTGTCTCCCTTGTCTCGCGCTCCCACCCTATGTTGCTTCGTTCCCACGTGGCTCGTCCTACCCTCCTGCCATCGCCTTCTCCATCCTCCCTTGTCGTTGCGCCTCCCCCTTTGTCTGACTTCCTTCGTGCCGCTCGTCCTCTTGTTCCTCGGGTCCTTGCCTCTCTCGTTACCGACCCGTCTGTTCCTGTTTCGCGCCTTGACGCCCTTGTTGCTGCGGTCGCTGACTTCGCCTCTACCCGCCGACTTGACTATGCTACCGCTCTGGTCTCTGACCCTGCCCGTCCTCCGTCCGTTGGGGTTGCACCTGCCCTTGGCAGTGACGTTGTAGAGGACACAAAGTACGAGCTTGCTTTCCTTTCCGAGGCCGCTCTCCATCTCTGCTCCATGCTGTTAGTCCCTGAGGGTGACCGAGACGCCTTCGACATCCCGACCCCTCGCACCTACGCTGAGGCCACCTCGGGACCCTGGGCCTCTCAGTGGATAGCTGCCATGGAGCAGGAGATGGCATCTTGGAGGTCCACCGGCACTTACGTCGACGCAATTCCCCCTCCTGGGGTGAACGTAGTCGATGGTCGGTGGCTCTTCAAGGTGAAGCGCCCCCCTGGAGAGCCGCCTGTCTTCAAGGCGCGCTACGTGGCTAGAGGCTTTAGCCAGCGCGAGGGGGTTGATTTCTTCCAGACCTTTGCCCCGACCCCGAAGATGACTACTCTTCGGGCACTGCTACACATAGCAGCACAGCGCGACTACGAGCTTCACTCCCTCGACTTCTCTACTGCCTTTCTTCAGGGTAGCCTACACGAGCAGGTCTACCTGCACTGACCACAGGGCTTCACTGGTACCTTCCTCCCTGGGACCCAGTGGCTCCTTCGGCGCCCCATCTACGGCCTGCGGCATGCTCCCCGTGAGTGGCATGACACGCTGCGTGCTACCCTTGCTGACCAGCAGTTCTTTCCGTCCTCTGCAGACCCCTTGCTCTTCGTTCATGCTGGCCAGACTTCGTTCTACATCCTTGTTTACGTAGATGACCTGGTCTTCTCCACTGCAGACAGGGATGCACTGGCCTCAGTGAAGGCAGAGCTGCTGAAGAGACACACCTGCACTGACCTTGGAGAGCTGCGCCATTACCTTGGCTTGCAGATCTCCACGGACAGAGCAGCGCGCACCATCACCTTGACTTAGTCACACTTGGTGCGCCAGGTCCTTCAGAGGTTCGGGCTTTGGTTCTCCTCCCCACAGCCCACTCCTCTGCCTCTAGACCATAGTATCTCCAATCCAGTTCTTGAGGAGCCAACAGAGCCCAGTGGTCCTTATGCAGAGCTGGTGGGTTGCCTCATGCACCTGATGACTTGCACTCGCCCAGATCTCGCATACCCTCTCAGCATCTTGTCTCGCTTTGTGGCCACAGGCAGACACCGACCTCAGCACTGGTCTGCCGCTAAGAGGGTTTTGCGTTATCTTGCAAGTAAATCTTGCATGGGGTTACTGCTAGGAGGACGCAAGCCAGTGGTCCTTACTGGACACACAGACGCTTCTTGGGCAGACGACGCCGAGACCCTCAGGTCCTCGCAGGGCTACTGCTTTAGCCTTGGTTTAGGTGCCGTCTTGTGGAGAGCTTCTCGCTCCTCGTCTGTTGCCCAGTCCAGCTGTGAGGCCGAGATCTACGCCGGTGCCATGGCGGCACAGGAGCTCCGCTGGCTGACCTTCTTGCTCACTAAGTTAGGTGAGCGGCCTAGCTATGCCCCGGTCCTGTACGCTGACAACAGGGCCATGATCCTCTTGTGTCAGGAGCCTCAATTCGAGGGCAGAGCGAAGCACATCCAACTGCGGTACTTCCTCATGCATGAGCTACAGCAGCGTCGCTAGGCTTGCGTAGTACACTTGGCCTCCGGTGCCAACACAGCTGATATCTTTACGAAGGCGCTTGCTCCTAAAGATCATCAGCGGCACTGTTTACAGCTAGGTCTTGTTCCTGTAATCTCTCACTTGCTAGGGCCTTGACTTTGTACTGTCCTTATATATATTTTACCCTGACTGGCCTTGTGGCTTCTCCCAATGGCTGGACTAGTAGTGCCGCCCTGGTCTTGCTCTTGCCTTGTCTGTACTCCTGTTGACTGGTCCTCAGACCCTTGTCTCAGAGGCTGGACTAGTAGTACCGCCTTTAGCTGCTTCTTCCCTTGTTAGGCACTACCCCTATATAGTCTAGGGGGTGTGTCAAACATAACTTATGTTGTTACTGTAGACTATACCGGTTTGTGCCTTAGAGGGTACAACACACTAGTCTATATTGCCCTGTATCTTCCTATTCTGGTTATTCTCTTTTTCCAACATTGTTTATTACTGCATAGGAGTTGACTTCAAAAACATGACGGGACAAATTCAATCCGGGAAATCAGTGTCCAGAGCAAACACAACCCTGATGCATCAATGTTGAAACCGGTACCGACCTTGAAAAATCAGGGTTGTGTTTCGTACCGACCCTGACGGAAAGTTTTTTTCCCAAGTCGACACTGATCAATCAAGGTGGTTCAAAACCAATCTGGGGGCTTGGTACCAGCAACAGAAATGGGTTCTTGAACAATGTGAATGAATTTTCTTACCGAGTCCAGTACCAGAACCAGAAGCCAGCTTGGTCGCTCGCGTGCCTCGTAATTGGTGGGTTCGCACACTCAGTCACTTGTACAAATGTTATCTTAACGTTCTCCCATTATTAATTACAATATAAGGCGAGGGTACATGGCAATAATCATTTCCTCGATCGTTTATGCATCATGTTTATGGCTAACCCGCTCTGTTTTAAGTGAGCTCCTGGTTTGTGCTTTTAAATAGGGGCTATAAAGCGAGGATCTCAAGAAGCAAAAAACCAAACCCTAAGGTTTTGGTTTCGGGGGGTCGCGAAAATTGCGAGGTGTGGCGGCGATGGGTGTTGGGGGGTCGCTGTTAATGTTTCGCTCATTTCGCCAACCCGAAAACATAACCTTTGGATTTGGTTTCTCACTTCTTGAGATCCTTGTTTTAACGTGGCCCTTCTTGGTTTTCTTTTTCTAAGATCAGTCTTGAGGTTATACCTTGTACTGTGCAGCGCTAGAGGAACTAAGATACGATTATTCTCTGTTAATGTTGCTTTTCTAGACCATGTATCGATTCTTGCTATAATACATTATTTCGTTGCACAAGCACTATCGATTGATATAAGGCGCTTTAATACTTCCAACGTACATCAAGTAACCAGGTTTATCTTATCCAAAAGGAATAGACCCTTCTAGAAATAGAATCACCCTGCGTATAGCCATGCGAGGCTATTGGCTTTAAGGGATTACAGCAAGATTACGCTAGATATAGCGCGCCAGTACATCCCGAGCCTGGTCGGTGATATAATTATAATAGCAGGATAAACCAAAGGATAATGGAATAGGAGGAATAGAAAACCAAATGGGATGGGATAAAAGGAGGAATGAAATAGAAGGAGATATGGAAAAGGAAATTGGTGTAACGGGGTCGTACTCTCACACTTCCCCCCCTCAAAGCTGGGTGGTAGACGTAACACCCTGCTTGACAAGGTAGTCGCAAAGAGGACGACGAGCGTTACCAATCTCGGAGTCAGGAACCCAAGTATCCTCAAAAGGATCATAACTCTTCCAACGAATGAGAAGCTCCACGATGCCATTCCGACGACGGCAGTGTGCGAGCACGGACTCGACCTCGTACTCGGGTTCATCGTGGACGAGGACGAGCGGCAGCGGCGGGGGTTGGCGTCCGGTGAAAACCGTGTTAGTGTCTCGATAGGGCTTCAGAAGTTGGACATGGAAGGCGTGGTGAATCTTCCAGGTAGGTGGCGGGCGTTAACGGAAAGTAACAGGAGTGACCTGTGCTTTAACGAGAAAGGGCCCGCAGAAGCGAGGTCGTAGTTTAGATGGGAGATGACTGATGTTGATATTGCGGGTGTCGAGTAGAACCTGGTCTCCCACGGTGATGGTGTGGTCAGTGCGGTGGCGATCGGCCTGGCGCTTCTGTTGCTGCTGAATGTCGAGGAGGCGCTTGTGGGTCCGATCCCAAAGCTGACGCATGGTCGTGATGAAGTCGTGTGCGGGTTGGACTGTAGCTGATGCTATCGGTTTTTGTGGCGTGAACGGGTGGCGTCCATAGCAGAGGAAGAATGACGTCTGTCCAGTAGCGGCGTGAGTGGCGTTGTTGTAGGCAAACTCCAGGACGGGCAGGACGGACGGGCGGGCGTGAGTATGGTTGGAATGGTAGGTTGTGAGATGATGTAGCGAACGAATAGTTGGGCTGTCTGTTCGGTGCGTGCTGTCGTGTGTGTCGGGATGAAGTGTCCCATTTTGGAGAATTTGTCGATGTCAACGAGGATTGCGTCATGACCGCTTGTGGTAGTTGGTAACCTGGTGATGAAATCCAGGCTAACCACTTGCCATGGCTGTTTTGGGACAGGAAGACGCTGTAGCAGTCCTGCTTTTTTCTGCTTGCTGCTCTTCATCCGCTGACATGTTGCACATGAGGTGACGAATTGCTGGACGTCGGCTGCCATGTGGGGCCAGTAGTAGTGCTTTGCAATACCGGTGAGCGTCCTCTTGCTACCGAAGTGTTCAGCGTATAGGACATCGTGGTATTCTTTGAGTAGTAACTGGCGCAAAGGAGGGTAATTGGGTACCCAGATCTTTGTTGATCCCTTTTCGGTATGCGATGTCAATGTCCCACTGTAGCAGGTGTCGTTTTGCTGCCAAAGGAATTTTGCGGTCGATGGCGTACCCGTGTGTGAAGAGTACCTTGAGTAGTGGGTTCATCCCTTCGACCTGGATTGTGGCAACATGTGCAGGCCGACTGAGAGCGTCTGCTTTGTTTTTGTGGCCGGGCTTGTACACGATGTCATAGTGGAAGTGCGTCTCGAGGAAGTCAATCCACCGGACCTGCCGCCTGGAGAGGTTTGGTTGTGTGTTCAGATATTTCATCCTGTACTGGTCGGTGTAAACGGTTGTTCTCCGTCCTTCAAGATAACTTCTCCACGTTTTGAAGGCGATGATAATAGCAAGGGCCTCCTTGTCGTGTATCGGGTGGTTTAGTTATGCCCCGTGTAGTTTCTTGCTGAGGTAGGCAATTAGTTGCAGTCCATTCCCCCGGTCTTGCATCAAGACTGCTCCCACTGCCTAGTCACTGGCGTCAGCTTCGATGACGTAGTCGAGTTCGGGGTCTAGCAAGATAAGTACGGGTGCGGACGTGACTGCTTGTTTCAGCTGCTCCACGACTTCGTAATGTTTTGGTTCCCACTTATAGGGCGTGTTCTTCTTCAGCGGATTCGTGAGTGGTGTTGCAATTTTTGCGTACTGTGGCACGAATCTGTTGTAATAGTTAGCGAAGCCTAGCAACTACTGCAACTCCTCTGTGTTCTCGGGTGTCTTCCACGTGCGTACGGCTTCGATCTTCTTGGGGTCGACGTAAACTCCTTGAGCGCTCACCATGTGTTCTAAGAATTGGACTTTCTCGAGGGCCAATTCGCTCTTGGATAGCTTGACGTAGAATCGTTCTCGTCGAAGAATGTCGAAGACGCGTCGCAGGTGTTGGACGTGCTGTTGCATGTCGCGCGAGTAGATGAGGATGCCATCCAGGTAAACCACCATGCATATGTCCAAGAGTGGGCGTAGAACATGGTTCATTTCAGCTTGGAACGTTGCCGGTGCGTTGGTGAGTCCGAACGGCATTACCAGATACTCGTAGGACCCGTACCGAGTTCGGAAGGCATGGAATTGTCCGCCATTCGTATCTGCCAGTATCCGGACCGCAGATCCAGTTTGGAAAATACCGTGGCTCCCCGAAAATGGTCAAGCAGGTCATCAATTCGTGGGATTGGGTATTTGTTCTTGATGATCTGCTTGTTGAGAGCTCAGTAATTGATGCACGTGCGCAGGCTTACGTCCGGTTTCGGTGTGAAGAGTACTGGGGCACCGTATGGCGAACTGGATGGTCGGATGAGTATTTTTGTGAGGAGATACTCGATCTGTTCCATCGGCTAGCTCCGTCGGGCTGAGCCGATATGGTGCTCAGAAGGTCGGCTTCGAACCTGGTTATTCCACGATCTTGTGTTGGTGTGTTCGGTATGGCGGCAGCTCGTTCGGAAGGTCGTCGGGAAGACTGGTCATAGGGTGGAGATTTTTCCCCATCATTTCCTCCTACTCGCATCGAATCAGCTTCGTTGGAATCGATTTTCCCGGAATCCCGTGGCCGCTTTCGGATCTTTTCTTTTTCGCCAGCTAGATCTGCAATCACTGGCGAATTCCGGCGTTGACCATGTCAAACGGCTCTGCTGCCGAAACGACGTCACTGTAGCTCGCATAATTTGTCGCTGCTACCTGTTGTTTGACTTCAGTCTTCAGTCCGGTGAGATACGACTGTAATTTTCCCCCTTTGGTCAGATCAGGAATGCAATTATAAAATTCCTCCAACTGTTGCTTGTACTGCGCTATACTCCCGAACTGTCGATGGCGATAATTCTTTTCCCGGGCAAGGAAACCCAAATTTATCGGCTCGAAGCGTTTCAGTAGGTCGGTGCGGAACTGCTGCCACGTGACTTCGCCGTGGATGAAGGTACTGTTACCGCCGATCCACTTGAGTGCCGGTCCTCGCATCAGTGTCGTCGCGAGTTGTGCGCGTTGACCGCCCCAGATTGGCGAGCTCCATCCGACAGATGCAAACTAGATCTCCATGCCGGTGATCCATCTGCGGGCGTCGGAATTTCGACCGCTCGGATCGAACGGCTCATGTGGGCGCGGTTTCGGAGCCTCGAGAAACTGCTGCAACTGCTGCGTCGTCGCCGTTGTCGTTTCGTGCTGCACGCCGGCGAGTCGAGTTACTCGCTCGAACTCATTTCGCCAAGCTTCGCGATCGGCTCGCATCTCCTCCTGAAGGGCGGCGATGCTCATGAAGAGCTGCTGGGTAACCTCGACGTTGTCAAAGTTTGCCATCCTGTTCAAAACACGCACGGAGGGGATAATTCAAAAAACGCGGAGCTGGTGCTTACCAGAATCGGGTCCAAACTAGTCGCCCCTGGCGGTTTTTTCGAGGCAGGTTTTCCCACTTCTTCTACTTGGCTGAGCGCGACTGAGTGAGAAAAGCTCTTATACCAAGTGTTACAGAATCGAATGTGTCGAGGAAAGGTTGCACAATCGATTGATGCAAGGCGCTTTTATACTTCGAAAATACATCAAGTAACTAGGTTTATCCTATCCTAAAGGAATAGACCCTTCTAGAAATAGAATCACTTTGTGTATAGCCACGTGGGGCTATTGGCTTTAAGGGATAACGGCAGGATTACGCTAGATATAGCGCACCTGTACATCCTGAGCCTAGTCGGTGATATAATTATAATAATATGATAAACCAAAGGATAATGGAATAGGAGGAATAGGAAACCAAATGAGATGAGATAAAAAGAGGAATGAAATAGAAAGGACATATGGAAAATGAAATTGGTGTAACGGGATCGTACTCTCACAGCATGCAATGATGATGTCAGTCAACAGACCAATCGAAAGGCTCCGGCGATGGCATCGGCTGATGATGTGCACGCTGTCACTGAGAAGAAGAGGAACCACGGGGAAACAAAGTGAGATGACTTCTGGGAGGGCATGGGTTGATGCTCAGAACTAGCTAATGATATGAATGGCACCACACACACCCTCACTATTCTCACACAGTCATCTCATCCCCTTCTTCGAGCATCCACCGCGCATCCATCATCGCCTCATCAGTGGCTTTTATCGCATGCTGCACAAAGCGAGGTCACAGTGGTGAGGCATCTCACCATGCCATTCCCCAACTCACCGTTCACACTGTCATCCTCTTCCTCTTTCGGCATCCATCATAGCCGCATCAGCTGCTCAGAGCTGCTTGTTTTGAGCAGCTTGTTGTCAGCAAGACGACGCTCACACTCACACACATACCCGCGCAGTGATCTCGCATGGTCACCCTCATCCTCTGTCATCCAGCCAGCATCCCTCATCGCCTCATCTGCTGCTCTTCTCGCATGTTGCAGAAATTAGGGCGTGCCCTCCAAACCACCACCCGTAGTAGCAGCAGCACTGACAAAACCACTAGCACCAGCAGCACCACCACCACCACTGGCAGCAGCAGCAGGAGCAGCAGCAGTGGTGGGGGTGCAGCCGATGGAGGGTGGGAACGGTTAGGACAGGACAGGAGGCCAAACACCGGCAATGTGAGATGACACCCCACCGCACAAGCACCCACTTGTGACGTCGTCGACCCGCCGCTGTGGCACTAGTGGGGGAGGCGGCAGCTGGGGCAGTACCTGAGAAAGGGAGTGAAGAGCTGGCTGGCGAGTAGGGGTGGGAGAGGAGTGAGGGAACGGGTGAGGGGAGAGGGACGGGCGAGGAGAGAGGATGCCAGGTGAATGGGTGAGCATGGAGGGTTTTGGAGAAGCTGCAGCTGCAGTGGCATCGGAGGGGATGGAAGCAGACGAGAGCATGCGGGACAACGGCGCTGGTGGCGGTGCTACTGCGGATTCAACAACGGCTGAGCTGACACGGCAGTCGCTGCATGGACGGCTGACATTGCTGCTGAGGGGGCAGCGAGGACAGGGGCTAATGACCAGGAGAACGCCTCGAGGTGGCTGTGGCTGGCCATATCCGAGGCTCGGAGGCTCGGAGATTCGGAAGCTCAGAAGAAATGAATCTCGGAAGCTCATAGGCACGGAAGCTCGGAAGGTCGAGGACTCGGAATCTTGGCGGCTCAGAATTTCGGAGGCTCGGAAGCTCGGAAGGTCGGAGGCTCGGAAGCTCGGAAGGTCGGAGGCTCGGAAGCTCGGAAGGTCGAAGGCTCGGAGAAATTCTGGGGGCTCAAAGGCTCGGATGGATTGATGTAAAGGGCTCACATTGGAGTCGACGCAAAATTCAAGTGGCTGTGTCAGCCGCCTCGACAGTTCTCCGAGGCTGGCGGCTTAGTTGGGATGGGTATGCAGACACGCGGACTATTCCCTAGTCGGCTTCTACTCGTGGCACACCCGCAGTCACCGTCATATGTCAAACGTGGTCGACTGATTTTCTAAATAATATGCTCCTACTGACAATAGACAGCGGATTATGCTCCTGCTGTGCATATTCCTCACCACGAAGACTTATTCATACTCAACAATCTCTAGTCCTCAGCAAATTGCTAACAAGTTGTGTTGGGATCGCTTTTCTGTTCGCCCTAAATTTCTTCAATTCGGCTTTTGGGCTGTGAGGTCTTGCAGCACTCGCATGCACGAACAAACCTAAACGAACTGAAACGAGATGATCTCGATTGCGAATTAAGATCCCATTTACAATGAGGATGGACTTTTGGCGAGGAAACGACAAATATACACCCAAATCAAAATAGATCCCACAGGAATGCACGAATAATTCGCGCCAATGAGAGGCGAGATTCTTGCGCATACGCAGTCAACACTTTCGGACTGACGTGTAGAGCTGTGCATTCGCGACGAACCTTTACAGCAAAATTTGTTGCACTGCAATTCGGCAGGAATTTCAAAAAATAGACACTGACATTTCGGGCATCGTCTTGGGCAAATAAACCCCAGAAGGGTCCGACATGCCATTTGAGATGGCATCAACCCTATTTCGACTTAAAGCCGCGGTGCAAATATAGCCAGCGATGTTCAATTGTTTATAAGTTGAAAGGTAAGGCTACCCGGTGAGGTAGTACTGAGCTTGCCAAAAGCCGTGCAAAAACCTGAACCAGAATGGTGCACTCCAAACCTCGAAAGTTGTCCCTTTGCTCCCCGTGCGTTTGATTCCGCTCGCCTTGTTTCCTTCTATCAAACAGAAAGGATGACAAGAATGTGAGAGTACAAGGCATTATACCCTAGGGTGCTGTACTCTCTAAGGCACAACCCTATATGGTCTACTACATCACACACAAATGTGTTTGACACACCCGCTAGACTGGATAGGGGCAGTGTCTGTTGAGAGACAAGCAGCTCAGGGTGGCACTACTAGTCCAACCTCAGAGGCAAGGGTCTAAAGACCAGTCAAACAAGTACAAACCAAGGCAAGAGCAAGACCAGGGCGGCACTACTAGTCCAGCCACTGGGAGAGGCCACAAGGCCAGTCAGGGAAAAAATACATATAAAGGTCTGTACATAATCAAGGCCCTAGAAAGTGAGCGGCTACAGGAACGAGACCTAGCTGTACACAGTGCCGCTGATGATCTTTAGGCAAAAGCGCCTTCGTAAAGATATCAGCTGTATTGGCACCGGAGGGCAAGTGTACTACGCGAGCCTGGCAGCGCTGCTGTAGCTTGCGCAGGAGGAAGTACCGCAGCTGGATGTGCTTCGCTCGGCCCTCAAGTCAAGGCTCCTGACATAGGAGGATCATGGCTGTGTTGTCAGCGTATAGGACCGGGGCAGAGCTAGGCCGCTCACCTAAGTTAGTGAGCAAGAAGGTCAGTCAGTGGAGCTGCTGTGCCGCCATGGCACCAGCATAGATCTCGGCCTCACAGCTGGACTGGGCAACAGACGAGGAGCGAATAGCTCTCCACGAGACGGCACCTGAAACAAGGCTAAAGCAGTAGCCTTGCGAGGACCTGAGGGTCTCAACGTCGTCTGCCCAAGAAGTGTCTGTGTGCCCAGTAAGGACCAATGGCCTGCGTCCTCCTAATACTAACCCCATGCTTGATGTACTTGCTAGATAATGCAAAACCCTCTTAGCAGTGCTGTGGTCGGTGTCTGCCTGTGGCCACAAAGCGAGCCAGGATGCTAAGAGGGTA